TTTTTTTAGCAGGTAAAAAACTTTTTTTTTTTTTTTTTTAAAGTGATGTGATGCAAACAAGAGTCAGTTGGACACAGCCTCATTAACAAAAATGTGATGTGCTGGAAGTAAAGTTGCTTGTGCATAAATTAACACCGGGTACATGAAGTCTAACAAAGGAATGGTTCTTTTATTCAGCTATTTATACTTCTCAAGCAGCTCCTGTGTACAGTATCTAAAATTTCCTTCCCAAGATCATCAAAATGAAAACAAAACAAAACAAAAACAATGTTCTACATAATTTTGTAAGGAAGAAAATATTAGGGGATGGAGACAAAAAGCAAAACCAAAAATCAGCTCTTTGATCCTACTAATGCCTTTTCTATTTTAGGTATCCAGTTAGCATGTGCACTAAGAAGGGGGCAATTTTCACTGACCCAATTTATGCTCTGTTGGCTAAAAGGCTCCTGATATTTCAGTTGTTAATCTAGCTAATGTTAGCACTGAGACACTGTCTGGACTTTTCCCATCCTTTGTCCTATTCTTAGATGTTTTATAAATATTTACTTTCAACACAACTCTACTGCAGATAGAGCAGGTTGACAGTTCAACTCCAATCCAGGCTAATAAGAAGAGCTGATATCATCTCATGGCAGCTTAGCCGTCGCCCCCGTTCTCAGCAGACAGGTTTCTGCATCAGAAGCATGACTACTAGCTTCAATGCTAGGAGCCTTGGCAGAAGCCTCCCTTACCACAAGGACTGCCCTATGCTCTATTAATCTCTATTTTTTCCATGGAACTGTGCTATTTGCAGTGTATGCCAGATTAAAAAAAATGAAGTTCTTGTATTTCTTCATCAAAATGTAAAAGCTTCATGCTTTAACCGTTTCCCTATTGATTTGATTTTTGTTTAAATAAAATGAGGCTGTTTTAACCATGCAGTCTTTACATACAGAGTCGCTGGTTTGGTGGGAGCAAGGTGAAATCAGACTTCTTCTACGCTTTCACTGTTGCTAGAACATATAAATAACATTCATTTTCTTGACAGGCAACAGTTATGGGTTACTACTTCCATCTTCATAACAGTCCTCTAGAACTGAACTCCAGCAAGTTTTAATTAAATTGAGGTGAAAATACTGTGTCCAAATGCATTGGCATAACACCGTCCAACACTACTGGGGCCTCTGGATATTGCTGTAATAAGTTAATAAATAAAAAAAAGTTAGGAAGCCCTCAAGTTACTTTTGCTTCATTTTTACAAATGGCTTCAATACCAACCTTTGAGACATCTATACTGCGAAGCAATTTCAGTGGCATTCAAGAGATGTGATTCAACTGACTCCACTACGGTGCTCCTGGTGTTAACACAAAAATAACTACTAAGATTTCAGGAAAGCCATTGACCGGTCTGGAATACATGACACTGAAAAGTCAGCATCCAAAGACAACCAAGAAAGCGCAGTTCAGGTAAATAGGGAATGCTTTACAAGGAAAAGCTTTAAGAGCTAAATATGTTCAGCCTAAGAGGCCTGCAAGAGAATCTGAGTTATGTTTTTCCAACACCTGAACTGAAGTGGATCCTGTAAGGAACCAGGCAGAAATCAGTTCACAGTAGGGGAAGTGAACTAGAACAAGTACAAGCTAGCTATCAAAAAAGGCTTTTTACACCCCCAAAACACCTTAAGTAACCTATATGGCACCCTGCCAGAGGTGCACAGGATGGATTATAGGCAGCTATGATTCTTGCTACCTTTCTCTTTCTAGAATTAACTGTTATACAACATAGAAGCAATGCTATTCCATGCAACCAGCATGCCTGAAAGACTTCACAGAAGAAAAAAAAAGGCAGTCACTTCCATGTGTGGGCACTCACATTCACTACCACCTTTCACATGCCATTTGCAATCCTTCCCCCAATTATTCTTGGCCCCTTCTTCTCTTACAATCTATCCCACCCGCTACCCAAACTTTGACTGCTTTCCCAAGTCTTCTGGGAAACTTTATGGCTTTGTCCACTGCCACTTGTACTGGCAACAGCACTCAGTTACTGTTTCTCCAAGCCTCATCCTCATTATCCCTTAAGAAACCTAAAATCTTCGGTAGTCATGATTTTCTGTTCAGCGCATTTCTCATACATACTCACCTTACACAAGTAATGACAAGTATATCTTGGGTCACAGGATAAAATATTTGGTCACTGCTGCATTTTTTTTTTCTTAATAATCATCACTCAGCTAAGTCTGAAGTTGAATCTCAAGGGAAACAATTATTTGCACTTAAGTTTATGTTTTTAATCCAACAATGCCAATGTTTTACAAATACTTGAGTACCCTTCTTCCCCACGGCAGAGCTGGGACTAGAATCAAAAGCACCCAACTCCCAGCTCAGAGTTTTAACCAAATATGGTCAATAAAAATTCAGAACGATTGTGTTCACCGATGCCTTGGAAACAGACACGCTCTTCCCTATCCCACATGAAGAATACCAAGCATGGAACCGAGGTCCCTTCCAGCCTTGATGTCTATGAAATCTATGACCAGAGGAGATTCATCCAAGAACCTGAATTAACAGCAATCTGGTTTAATTAGCAGGAGAAAGCATTTTAAGTTTCATCTCTGGGACTTGCAACAGTCTCTTCTCTGACCAACCCAAATCCAAACTTGCTAATTCTCTTTACAGCTGCACCAATATATAGAGCCCGTATCGTATCAGCATCAATACGCTGACATTACTGGCCATCAGCTTCTTCTGGCTGATGTAGCCAAAAATGTCACCAATAAATGCCATATGTGTGCATGCAGCCACAGCATGCAGAGGGCCAGGAATGCAGCCCAGCAGCCTGGAGAGCAGAGTGTGCCCGGTGAGTCTTTGGGAGTGGGAGGAGGGAGGAGGAAGGGGCAGACAGAGGTCCCACAGTGAGGGAGGGAGGGAGTGGAGTGGGAGCAGGCGCTACCCAGCCACGGTAGGGTGGGGTGGAGCCACAGGTAGGTCATCTGAGGAGTGCAGGGGGGCGGCAGCTCCCGCTGCTGCGTGCACTCCTGGGGGAGGCATATGCCCCCCAGATGTGTGCAGGGCAAGGGCAGGCTCCCCACTGCAGGCTTGGGAGCTATACTGGCCTCTTCCCAGCAGGGGGGCTGGGCCAGGGCTTTGCATGGAGTGGCAGGGTTACAGGAGAGGGCGCTGTAACCCACCCTGTAGCTCCCCTCCCAGTGCCATCCAGGCCCAGTCCCCCCTCCAGAAAGAGGCCAGCACAGCCCCTGGCCTTAAGCCACAGCCTGCCTTCACCCCGTCCACAAGTCTGGGTGGCACATGCCCCCATGACTCCCCTGAGGGGCGCATGCAGCAGCGGGAGCCGCCCCCCACCAAACCCTGGATGAGCCACCTGTGGCTCCATCTTGTGCCCTGTCCTGGCTGGGCAGCACCTACCTCAGCCCCATTCCTTCCCTCACCATGGGGACTTTGATCTGCCCCACCATGCTCCTTCCCTCCTCCACAGGCTTACCAGTTGGTTGCTGCTCTCCAAGCTGCCAGGATGCTTATTAGCAACTAGATTGGTATCGGCTGATATGGCTGGTTAATAATCAGCCATCAGCATCA